GGCAAGTCACTTGACTATTTTTAGATTTCCTCATCTATAAATTGAATGAGGTCAGACTGAACAAAGAGCCCCTTCTAGCTCTACGGGTCAATGACCATGCCTAACAAGGCGTCTTAAGCGATCAGGAATGGGATCAGTACTAATCTGAATTGTTTTTGAGGAAATAGAAGCCACTCACAAGCCTATCTGTCCTTCACAATTTTGCCTCAAGAGAATAGAAGCAGTTTGAATTCTGAGCCTCTAAACAAAATGTTCTCAGAACACCCTCACCATATACCCCCACTTCCAACAAGTGCCACAGGATTGCTGTGGTGTTTTCAGATGTTCACATTAGGGATATGAGCAGAAGTGTATAATGCCAGCCCTACACAGGCTATGTAGACACCCCACTGTCAGTTTAGCAATGGAGCTGCACTGGGGAACGCTAGGATTGTCCTGGTGAGTGCAGTTGAGATGTCCATCCTGCCCAAAGTCGCTAGTTCTCTCCAAGGCCTATAAAGTGGGTTTTCAGTTATATATCTCCCATCCTGGTTGCTTTATTCAACCTACAGTCTCCCCTATAGTCAAGGTTTGATTCTCTCCCCTCAGCCTTTGGATATGCAGGGCAGGCATGTGGGGATTTGAAAGTGTGCTAAGTAGGTGTACCTCCAGGATTCTGTAACAATCAGGCTCTGTGTGCTAAAACAGGATATGGAGACATTTGCTGAAGTCTTGCTACCCGTAACTCTAATGTCTTATATGAATTTTGCCAGGTACACAGGTACAGAGAAAAAAATGTAGCTTTCTTGAATTGAGCATATCTTCCCTGTCTCAGCATCAAAAAAGCCTGGAAAATAGCCTGCTATTTAAATTGAGGAGTATTACAGAAAATAGCTGCATCACATAAAAAGGTATTCAGTTGCCCTTATGACAAAGGAAGAAAATCAAATGCATTGGCTTGATGTTTGGTTTATTTGGAGGTGGAAAGGAGTACTTTATTCTAACTCCTAATCTTCATCTCATGGCACATATAGCCATAGTGTTGGAGATTGGAATAAATATGAATTTGCCTGAAATATACCCTGAAAGTCATACTTCATCTTTGAAAATGCCTAATAATTATAGTGTATCCATAGTATGTATACACGTACCTATATAGAATTCCTAGTAATTATAGTATATGTAGCATGTACACAGTGGTGGCTGATAAATAACCATTACTTCTCTGGAAGAGGGGTCCCAATTTGCAGCATTTGCCAATTTCCATGGTGTAAGTGCTCCCACATGGCCAACTTCTGTCTACCAATGGTTTAATAGCCAACATGCCAAATTTCTGAAAATTTAGCAATCAGTTCTCACAAACCACTGTAAGTTGGCCCCAAAACACGAAAATCCTTAAAAATCGGACTTGATTAGATTATCATATGGATTTCCAAAGAGATAAATCTAGAGCAAAAACTTACTATATTAGTATTTATTTTTATTATAAATATTGTTTGGTTAGGTTATATGAAAATGCTGAAGGAAGTACATATAGTTACAAAATATGAAAAGTTGCTAACAGTATGCTATCTAATCACAGTAAAATCTAATGTTTTAACTGGATTGTCTACAGGTAATCTCAAGTAGGAAAATACTGCAGAAAGAAAGAGGAGGAGGAAAACAAAAACTGTTATCTCTCTATATTTTAAATCCATTAACTGTTTCAGAAGACTACCTTGCACAAGCTAAAAAGTCTTGAGTGGTCCGTGTATAATGTATTACATTCATTAGTGATGTTTCTTTGAAAGAATAATGATATGTTTGGGTGTAGCTAATATGGGGACGCTTTTGTCCATGTTTATTCCTCACCTGGAGTTCATCTTCCCCATGGAATAGTAACAGTCTAATAGCTGTCATGCTTAGAAAGTAACACACACCACACTGTTCCCCCCTCTTCTCTTCCTTCCTCTTGCTGAACTTTCAAGGCCATACCGAAGCATTCTTTTGGGGTGGGAGGAGCAGGGATGAGTGAAGAGTAGTTTGGCATCCCAAGTGTGGATCCCTCCCTTTCCTTCCCTCTTACTCCTATGGAAACATTCTTCTTTTGAATTTAAATATTTATTCTCCCTTACCCACTGATCTCCTTAATTTATCTTTATTGCATTCCATTCTTTCTCTCCTTTCTCATCATCTCTGTAATATGGAACAGAAGAACTTTAAATATGTATTGCTCCTTGAGTATAAATGTTGGCATTTTATGTCTTGTTCTTTAGTTTAAAAAAATTAAAACGCAAAGGCCAAGCCTTCTAAGTTTAGTAGGTTTTATTTTATCAACAGGTCAGTGACCTTCCATAAAAAATAACATGTTGAAATTTAAGAAAAAACAAGATAACATTATTTACACGGAAGGGATCCTTAAATACAAAAAAAAATACTGAAAATTGAATGATAATGGGCAAGAACAAAAAGAGAATGAGACGTCAAAGTAGCAAAATGCATACACAATCAAATTATAGGCAACTATTTCTCACGGTTTAAATGTTTGAATTTAAATAAGAATAAAAATTCCTTTTTTTAAAGATTTTATTTATTCATGAGAGAGAGGCAGAGACACAGAGGGAGAAGCAGGCTCCCTGTGAGGAGCCCGATGCGGAACTCGATCCCAGGACCCCAGGATTATGACATGAGCCAAAGGCAGACGACGCTCAACCACTGAGCCACCCAGGTGCCCCAAGAACAAAAATTCTTATATCATTAATTTATAATCCAGTACAGTAGACTGTAATATATTTCTCATATCTCACTTAGAATATAACTAATTGACCAGACGACCAAAGTCAGTTCCATGAATTTGCTGCCAATGTCCACATGAGAACATGTTTGTCACTGTGTGTCTGGGACCCACCACATACCTGACACTGTTGCATGGGCCAAAGTAGCCTCCAAAGGAATCAGAAAATAGTAAAAAGCATACTGTACAGCCAATTCTTCCCACTTCACAAGCTAAATCTCAGGCTGTACTCCAAATATTTTATGAGTCTTTGACTTCACAGAGAATGAAGAAAAAACTGAGGCAAATCCTCCAAAGGATTCAACCCCACCCCCCACCCCACCCTAAATTTTCCAGTTTTCTTGATATTTGAAGTGGAAGTGTTTGAGTTGGCTGACTCATCTCCCTTGAGCTGGTACATACACATGATTATAGAGACCTGCTCTAATGTCATATTAAGGAACTCATTATCTAGAGAGAATACTCAATACTTAGTTGAAAACTTGGGGAAACATTTTAGGCTTTCCATTACAAATTGCCATTGTGTTCTAAATTTTATGTTAAAAATAAATACATAATTTCACAAATACTTTTATACTGTGTACCCGGGCTGCCAAAAATATTACCTGGGAAATTTTTTAAGAATCAACTGTATTGGTTTCTTCACCAGTTATGAAGTTGTCTGTTGTATTATTATTGGGTAACTGAATAGTAATTACAAGTATTATGGTAACTAGTGCCCTGGTTCATAGCAAAAAGTATACACATACATGCATGCATACACACACGAAATACAGAATTATACACTGATGTTCATTGTATATGCAATAAGATAGCAGTTGCATGTTAGCTGATGCCATTCATATATTCAACCAGCTAACAATACACTGCCAACCCATCACACACGGGTAAGTAGTGCAGCCTGTTAATGAGAAGAATTTATCCAGAAGCAAGTGGCAGGGTAGTTGTGGCTGCCAGACTGACCCAAAGCAGCCAGCTAACAATACACTGCCTACCTGACTCAGGTCACGGCTACGTTTCATGGCCCCTGAAGTCACTGAAGCTACATTTGCCATATGAAACACAGTGGCAGAAATGTACTCTTAATAGTCACACAAAAGAAAACATAAACCAAACCTGTCCCTCCAAAATGGTTATAAAAAATAAAAACAACGCTTTTAAATCTCCTCAAAAACCTAAAAAGGAAAACTTTCAGAATACTTGCACTTAGCTGTTCTAAAGTAAATATCAAAATCCGGTATTGTAGTACAAGTGAATTAACAGAGTTGTACTTGACTGTAGCTTTTCCAAGTATCTCTATTTACTGACCAAAAGACCAGCTGTATTAGGCAACAAAATATCTTTTAGGAGTCATGGCAACACATAAGCTGGGCAAAAAACAAAACTGCTGCTATTTTGGAGGGAAAAGATCAATATTCAAGAAGCATTTAGGGAACCTAAGGAGTTAACTGTCTGTCATTCATTGCCTCTCACTATAAATAACCTCAGTCACTGTATTCTGAAAGGGCCCTAATGTGTTTGATTTATTGCGTCACCACTGAAATGCTGAAAGATCTAAGAAGATTAAGAAAAATCTGTGAGAATGTTGATAGGCTAGAAACTAGAGTCTATGAATAAAGTTTAAAGGAATAAGAACAATTTCGTGCAGAGAGAAGCAAAGTGAATGGTGATTATGATAGATTTAAAGTATATGAGGGCTGTTTATGTGGGGAAAATAAGCAAAAGTCGTCTAGATTTACTTTTTTACACTGATTTCAAGAGAACCTACAGAAAGGCCTGAGGCTTTCAAGGAGAGAAAGCACTACATTGCGTCAACTTTAAATTGCTAACGCAACAGATGGTCGATTATGCCACTTCTCCGGCTGTCCACAAGATGGCACCATTTTCATTTCTTTTGGGGGCGAGCTTGTAAACGCTACAGAGCTGCGCGCAGCTGGCAGCGGTGAGCTAGCAAGGCGCTGCGTACCTGACACATCCATGCTTCATCCTTTTCTGTTGAGCCAAAAACTGGAAAGCACCTTTGATATACAGATGATTACCATTGTCAGGGATCTTCAATTTCTTACAGAAACAGAGGGTGGGGGGTGTATGATTAGACTCTGCAGTTAGTGACATCCTAGGAGATTGATATATTTTGAATTTTCATACCCTCAGACCAGGCTGTACCTTCAACAAATATCTTCTTTAGGAGGAATTACTTTGCTCAAGATGAGAATTAAGAGAACGAGAGCAAGCAGTAGACACTCACCTTGGGAGAACCTGGACTTCTCTTCTGCTTCAGGTCTTTGGCGAGCACCCGCATGACGTTCTCCTTCGAAAACATAGGTAACAAAGGGAGAGAAAAACTATTAAAAAAAAAAAAAAACCACAGCAGTGTTAAGTGTGGAACGTCTCTAGAGATCTTCAGCTTGTCCAACTACACCTAACTCTCTCTCTTTAGCAAGCAGGCACCTCCAGAAAACAGCTCCAATTACACATCTCGAGATGACGGATCGGATCGGGGACGTCCTGGTCCTAAGCAGGTTACTACGAGAAGCCGCCTTGGGGCGCTGGGGCTGGGGAACAAAAGGACGGCACTCACTCACCCACAGCATCTCTTCCTCCGTGCGGACCCTCCGCCGGGCCGTGCGCTCCAGTTTCCAGTCCATCTCGGGGGGACGTGCCCCCTGCCGGGACTTGGGCCTCGCCTCGACTGGCCCCCGGTTTCCCCCCAGATCCAAGCCACCCCTGGCAGCGAATCGTCAACCCTCTAGAATCTCATCCCGCACCCCCACCCCCACCCCCACCCCTCAGAACCACCACCTTCCACCCTGAACCCCCACTTCCCCGATTCCTGCCATTGCTCCCCAGACGGCGTTCCCCAGGGTCGGGTTTAAAAAGCCGGCGAGGCGGCCGCGGGAGCGGGAATCCCCCTCTCCCGCTCCCCATTGGCCAGCGCGGCGGTGACGTCAGATCCCGGGAGGGATTCCCCCGCGCGCCGCCGCCCGCCGCCGGCTCTTTGTCGGCGGCGGCGCGCACAGAAGCGCCAAGCTTTGCCGCGGGCCTTGGCGGGCCTGGGCCCGGCTGGGCGCCGACGGGTGTCACCGCAGCAGGACAGAGGGGGTTGGCGGGCGGAGAAGCGGGTTCTGTAAGTTCACCTTCTTTCCATTTTCAAGGTGGGGGGGGAGAAGGTTTCGTTGTAACGAGGCCTTCTCTCTATGGGTAATGTTCACCGTCTGTGTAAGCCACTGATTTTAGACGTGTTCTCCCAACGTGTTCATCAGCTCTTGCTCCATTTTTCAAATAGGAAAACGTGGCAAGATTGCTGTGCTGATGGTAAGGGGGACCACTGACGTTTCCCCTAGAAGTTCTTCTGTGCAGTAGCCATGTCCCTCCCTTGAGCTGCTGAGCTGCCTTCCCAACCAAGAGGTTGGAGGACGAGGTGAAACCGTGGGTGAACGCTGGTGACAGGGAGCACCGCATGCGTAGTGAGGAGTCAGCAGGAAAGCTGAGCAGACTGAGGCCTAAGGAATACAGGAGAGGATGATATTGGGGGTTAAGGGAGGGGTTTGGAGGGGAATGACAGGGAGCCAGATGGGCTGGGCAGCCTTAGCAGCCCCACCTGAGCCGCCAGGGAGGCTGGCTGCGCCATATGGAAGGAGGAGAAACTGTCTGGGGAACCTGTGGCAGACTGGAGACCAGCTTTTCCCTCTCAGCGGCTGCCTCTCTACCTCCCATTTGACACCGGATTGCTTCTGCTTTAATGCAACATGTGGGTTTGTGCATTTTCCCTGCGAAAGGACTCCTAGATATCAGATACTCAAAGGGTCAGTGATTTAAAAAATAAAAACACTAAACTTACTCTCCCCCATCTTCCTTCTTACTGAACACAAGGAAAATTGGCATCGAGGCTGAGACCCAATCTTGAACCAGTTTTCCATCTGCGATGATAAAAGTTAAGGAGAATGCTGCACAGGGTAACTGAAACAAATGAGATCTATCAAAAGCTTGATAGCCGAATAACCCATGAAAAAGATCTATAAATTTCACCCACAAGAGTTTTATCTTCCTTGCAGTGCTTTCAACTTCCAGTAAATCCTTTCAGCAAACACTGAGGCTAAATAAAGTGAAATTTTGGCTGAGAGTCAAATGTATTGTTAATTCAAAGATCAGTTTTGCAAATGCCAGCTAAAATAAGCGGCATATTGGAAATATGGAAGACTTTTTGTCCTACTTTTAATTATCATTTTACCTGTACCATTTATGAAAATGGGCACAAACACAGGAGTAATAAAAACCAATTCAATTAATGAACTTGTAAGCCCATGTAAACTGTGATTTTGGAATCCATGTCCTTACAAGTACTAAGAATAGTGAAATACTTTTAGAATTCAATTATCTGTAATACATTCATAAATTCCATTTTAGCCACTAATTCCAAAGCATATTATACAGCCTCCAAATGCCTTTTTGCCCCTAGATTAAAGCAGAATAGTAAAAGTCAAGTATTTTCCTTTAAAAAGTTATTGTGTATTTAAATAATCAGACTGAAATTTAACAGGAATGATGAAAATAGAAAAAAAATCACCATTGGCAAACACCACGGGACTAACTGTTGCAGTCAAGAATCTGAATAGTTAAACTGGTATGCATATAATGAGGGTGTTTGCCTCCTATGATTCAGTGCAAAAAAGGAAAATCACAACTTTTCATTGGACAGAACTGGCAGCCACCACCTCAACCAAGTATTAAATCAACTTCACTATTAATGACACATTGACATCCTCTGCACTAGGATGACAGACTGGCAGTGAGAAAGGTACAACATAACTTCTGTGACATTTTTGCCCAAAAAATGCATAACCAGAATTTAATAATGAAAAAACGCTAAACAAAACAAAGGACAGTCACAAAATAATTGGCCAGTAGTACTCTTCAAAAGTGTCATTATGAAAAAGAAAAAGAGATAAACTATCACAGATCAGAAGTTATCCATGTAAATATGACAAATGCATTTGAATTTGAATCCTGGATTGAATTGAGTCCTGGATTGAATCCTGGACTAGGAGGAGGGTGGGATAATTGTAGAAATTTAAATACTATCTGTAGATTAGTTAACAGAGTAGTAAGAATGCTAATTTCCTACTTATTATCATTGTGTTATAGTTGTGTTAAATGTTAACATCTGGGGAAGCTGTGTGAAGTATATAGTGGAATTATTTCTACCATCTGGGTAACATTTTTCTAAGTCAAATTATGTCAAAATACAACTTAAAATGAAAAAATATATTAATCTCATATCATGTGGTTATATGAATAGAAACATTATGGCACAACTTTTTAGAAGAAGAAATATCCTGTGAACATTTAATCTAAATTGTTATCAAATACGGTTTAGGAATTATGTCTAATTTATATGTTTATGTGCCTGGTTGAGTCACTGTCTTCAAAATGTTTCCTCTTTGCGCCGAGGGGATTTTGCAGGCAGATCTGAGATATGGCCCAGGGCGGCGGGGAAGACTCCTCCGGCGGCAAAGCCCAAGGCCAACTGGAAGGATTTGGAGTAAGGAGGTGAGGGGGGCGACGGTGTGAGGCAGCGAGAAGGGAGAAAGGCGAACACGACAACGCTTTTCTGGATTCGCATCTTGCCGGGGCTCCGAGGGCCTGCGAGGCCCCTACCGACGGGAAGCAAGAGGGCATCCAAGCTTCCCAAATGCAGATTTTTTTTTCAATTACATCATCACATTTTCTCTCTAAATAATAACGTTAACTATCCCAGAGAGAGACAACGAACAAAGTCAGCTCCCTTTATCCGTCCTCCCAGCGAAGTCCTTTCCCCAGAGCTCCGCCAGGCCATTGCCCAGTTCATTTACATCCCAAAGTGGGGACCCGGACCCCGGCGCTGTGACTGTGATCTTGCTGTACTAAGCGTTTTTGCAACTGGCTTTTTCTGCTTCACTGCATCCAGTTGCAAACCGGAAGGCGGCCCCATTCCCAACTCCAACTGTCGGTCGGTGGGTCCGCGCCCCTCCCTCCCCGGGCTCGCGCTCCCCCTCCCGCGCCAGCCCGCCCCGCCCCGCCCCGCCGCCCGCCTACTGGGCGACCCGGGCCGTTGCCCCGCGCTGCAACCGTCCTCGGGGCGCGTGCCCGCCGGGCGGGGGCTGGGGGGCGGGAGGAGCACCGCTCCCGGCGGGATCAATCCAGCCCCGGCCCACGTGGGAGAGGGCAAGACTGGGTGCTGGGGAGACAGTTCGGGGTGTCTGCCCCCTGGAAGAGTCAGGAAGTTAGCCGCGAAGTCTGGGGAGAGAAAGGCAAGGGGACCTTCGCGATCTGGACTGATCAGCTGAGCCTGTCTGCCCCCGCCCCAGAATATATCCTCTATAGCTCAGAATAGCGCCTGGGAAGGAAGGAAGGATGGAAAGAAGGAAGGAAGGAAGGAAGGAAGGAAGGAAGGAAGGAAGGAAGGAAGGAAGGAAGGAAGGAAGGAAGGAAAGGAAGGAAGGAAGGAAGGAAGGAAGGAAGGAAGGATGGAAAGAAGGAAGGAAGGAAGGAAGGAAGGAAGGAAGGAAGGAAGGAAGGAAGGAAAGAAGGAAGGATGGAAAGAAGGAAGGAAGGAAGGAAGGAAGGAAGGAAGGAAGGAAAGATGGAAGGAAGGAAGGAAGGAAGGAAGGAAGGAAGGAAGGAAGGAAAGATGGAAGGAAGGAAGGAAGGATGGAAAGAAGGAAGGAAGGAAGGAAGGAAGGAAGGAAGGAAGGAAGGAAGGAAGGAAGGAAGGAAGGGAGGGAGTCCCTTGTAATTCAGACCATCAGCAGGACTCAGAAAGTCAACCTGTAAAGGTTCTAGCCAAGTAAAAGCCTCCGTCGGAAGAGTAGTCTATCAAATACCACCTCGCCTCTGGTTAAGTTACATCGACTCGTTATTTCTTCAGTTATAAGTCGCTTATGTAAATGGCATATTTTTACATTATAAATGCAAGGTCTGTCCTTTAAGATCTATTGCTCCAACCGTATCCCAATTAAGGAAGATGAAGGGTAAAATTTGCCCAGCTTAAAGTATGACATCAGAAGATCACCTCCAACTACTTATTTTCTTTAATTTTTCCCTTCTCTTTCTGCATAGGGTAGCTCTGGCATAGAGTACTAACGAAGATACTTCCCCATGATCTCAAGGAATGTAAGGAAAATATCAAATCAGTACGAATCTGTATAAACCATGGATGAAGTCAGGCATGTGAACATGGTGCCCCCTCAAAGGAGGGCTTGTGAATGCTGTAGACAGGGAAATCCTTTTACTAGATAGCCTACCAGCACTTTAAACCACATAATCCAAAACAAAATTGAGAATCGTTCCTTATTCCCATTCTTCCCAAACCACCTTTTCCTTCGGCAGGTACCTTCTTCCCAATATCCCCATCTTCCTGGTGGAATGGAGTCAAAGTCAGCCAGCCTTCTTTAACACTTTCTCTTCCCATAAGCCCAAACCCAGATATTAAGGACATTTTCACCTCTGCAGTGTTGATTACATCTACCCTCTTCTTGAACTATTACAGTAACCTAATTGATAATCCAATATCTAATCTCTTCAAGTCCATTCATTTAACATATTTATTTGCACAGAGCAAGTTCCATGCACCATTCATGTAATGGTGATAAAGATCCAGTGATAAAGT